TTGGCTGACTGTTAGCTTCAGATGACAAAGGAGCCCGTGGAGGTGGACCTGACAGGCCAGGTGGCTCTTCCTAGTGAGGCGCCTGCTCCACTGGCCGGTTTCCTGTGTGAGCCCCTCTGGAGAAGGCCCTTCCTTCGCAGGCCTGGGCTTCTACACCCTGCCCTCCCTTGTTCCTCCAGTTCTGAGGCTGGAGGCTGTTTTGTGCAGCCTGCATCTGTTACCCCAGAGCTGTTCTTTCTGGTCTATTCACGGCATTAAATTTTCTTTGTTAAAATAACCAGTTTGGTTTCTGTCGCCTGACTGGGTTCTGACTCGTTCAGCTGTCACTTGTCATTTTCTAAAGCTTGTGCTTGCTCTCGCTGGGTTCCTTTCTCTCAGGTTCCCACTCCTGTGCATCCATTCTGTCAATGGGGGTAACCAGAACATGGAAGCCACCTTATAGTCTGGACAGGGAAGGTACTTAATGTAAAGAACTGCTGTCACAAAGGCTTGAACTAAGGGATGAACAAGTAAGAAAGAGAAGGCTGAAGAACCCCAGAGTTGCCGAGGCCCAGGGGCCTCTACCCCTAGGACTGGGGGAGCGTCTTCCCCTGGGGCTCAGATCCCACACCTCTTTGGACAGAGCATAGTGCTGGCTCACTGGGTGCTGCACAAGTCACCCACAGTGGTGTTCCAGGGAAATTTGCTGGAGACCCACCCTTTAGCACTAGGGGTCCTTGCTGGGAGGCTTCTTGAGGAAGCTGGCTACTGTGCGCTGCTGGTAATGTTTTCTGGGGAAGCTGAGCCCTCCTGGAGAAGGTGTTCCCCAGGACATGGCTGGAGGAGGGCCAGTCCTGGAGGAGCCCGTCCTCCCTCCAGCACCCCTCCAACGCTCTGGAGATGACTTAACAGGCCATGGGCAGCCAAAGTCTTTGCAAAGCCACCTTTGTCTTCACAGAGAAGATAGGATTTATTTAGATCTGGGAGGCAAAATTGAACACCCCAGTGTATTTTAAAGTCAGCCTGTGCATTGGCTCATGGGATCTTGTCACTCAGGTTGTGCCAGTCTGGTGGGCATGAAGGGGATCTTGGTGCCAGTTTCCCTTGTGCTTTTATTCTATGGTATTTTTTGAGAAAAGTATCAATATTGAGATGTTATTTATTTTAATATAGTCCAGTTTATTGATTTTTCTTGTAACGAGTACCGTTCTATGTCCTGTTTGAAAAATCTTTCTCCAGAGTTCCATAAGCTTCTCTCGGTGATTTTTACGTTCAGGTCGGTATTTGGAGTTGAACTTCTGTGTTGCGTGAGCAGTTCAGTGCGGGTGTTTCCGTAGCTGTACCTGGTTGTCCAGTGCTCTTCTCTGAAAGGCCACTGCCTACTCAGTTACCCGCCTTCACGCCAGTTCTGTTCTGTCCAGGCCTGCCAGGATCGACCCCGCTGTCTTCCCGCAGTTGCTGCGCTTGATGCTCCTCCCTCCTCATCTCTGGGTGGTGTGCACTGTTGTTGGCCCCTGTGTCTTCCCACGCAGGCAGACACAGGTGGGTGCCTTTGGTACGTGAGTGACACATGGATCCCTGTGGGATGCAGCCGGGATTGTGGGCGCTTCTGGAAGCAGTTGAATCCTCTGCTGGGTGAGCCCGTGGAGCCCTGCACTTGGTCCTTTCCTCGCCTGCCTCTCAGGCAGGCTTTCTGGCTTCTTCCCTGGGGCTGCTGTGTACTGGTTGTACCCTTGATGCTTTTATAAATGGTCTTTTTTGTTTGTTCTCCATACATGGAAATCTTATTGGTTTTGAAAATACTTTTGTCTAGCAGCTTCCATAACTCATTTATGAGTGCAAGAAACTTATACATTTTAAAATTTTTCTACACCAATTTTTTCATCTGTTGGGGGAGATGACAATGTGGTTTTCTCCTTTTCAGTTCTTAGGTTTCTTTGATTTGTCTTTCTGGGGAGATTTGCAGTCGAGTATTGACTGGAAGGTGGTGACAGTGGGCCTTGGACTCCACCCTCGAAGAGGAGTGTTCTCTGTCTCTGCAGCTGGCCGGTAGTTACACTGTGTGCAGTGGATTTTTGTTGATGCCTGTATTTAGGACATGAAGTCCCTTTCTATTCTTTTTTATTTATTTTTTGGTAATGGGGATTGAACACAGGCCTACTGTACCACTGAGCTACATTCCCAACCCTTTTTATTTTCAGACAAGGTCTTGCTAGTTGCTAAGGCTGGCCTTGAACTTGTGATCCTCCTGCTTCAGCCTCCCGAGTAGCTGGGATTATAAGCATGAGCCACGGTGCTATATCAGTCCTTTAAAATTTGTTGAGTTGTGTCATACTCTGTTGTTTATTATGAGATACTATATTTTCTTGAGAAAACTATATGTTCTTTTTTTTTAAGTTGTAAATGGATCTGTTTTATTTTATTTATGTATTTATATGTGGTGCTGAGGATCGAACCTAGGGCCTCATACATGCCAGGCAAGCACTGTACCACTGAGCCACAACTCCAGCCCCGAGAAGACTATATTTTTCTGCAGGTTTTTTCTTGTTCTTGTTCTTGTTGAATTTTTCTTTATTATTCATCAAATTTGGATGTAACTACCTAGAGCTTCTGGTAACAAGAGTTAACAGTCCTACCATGTGGGTTGATACCATCATGGGGATGCACCCAGAAGTGAGGTGCTTGATACTTGTGGAACTTAGGTCAAGTTATTTACCTCCCTGGGCCTCACTGTCTGTGCTTCAGCATGGGATGACTACTCTCTCAAGAGGCAGTATTCAGGGAGGGTGGGTCCCATGAGCACTTGGGCTTTCCATTCAGAGTCTGAGCGAGCACGGGAGCACATGTTTCCATTACTTGCTTGGAAGGTCTGTCTTTTTAAGCCACCCTTAGTTATCCTCACCTGTGTGCTGGTCAAGAGGTGGTCAGCTGAGTGCTCACCGTGTTTTCTATTGCATATTCAAAACTGTGAGTGTGAGTTCGTATTTCATCTCCACAGTAACCTGTAGGCTGCCCCTGTAACACCTCACATGGCTACCTGGGGAGGAGCTGAGTGATAGAGTGCTTGCCTGGCACTCATAAGGTCCTGGGTTCTGTTTTCAGTACTGCACAAACAAAACGAAAGAAAGAAAAGTGCTTGTTGAGGTTGGGAAATGAGCAGAAGCCTTTTTGTAGGGGGAGTAGTTGTTGGTAAACAGTTTTATTTTACTGTAAAATAATGGACTTTATTTTTAAATACACTTTATTTTTTAGAGCAGTTTTAGGTTCAAATTGAGAGGCAGGAATAGGTTTCATACCTAAATGCTTCCCTGACACGTGCACAACACGTCCCACCAGTGTGCTGCCTTGATACAACTGACAAGCCTATGTTGACAGGCCATCGTCACCCTCTGTCCCTGGTTTAAATTAGGACTCCTGTTGGTGCTGTGCATTCTGTAGATCTGGATAAAGGTGTGATCAGTGTGTCCACCAGTGGACTGTCATGGAGAGTCGTTTCATTCCTAAAAACCCTTTATGCGCTGCTTGTTCATCCTGCCCAGCTCTTTTTTTTTTTTTAATTTAATTTTTAAAAAAATCCTCCTCACTTCTGGCTTTTCCCGAGTGCCACATGGTTGTAATCATACAGTGTCTAGCTTTTTCATATGACTCCTTCAGCTTGGTAATATGTACCTAAGTTTCTTTCTTTTTTTTTTTTTTGTTTTTTGTTTGGCTTGGCTTGAGAGCACATTTCTTTTTAATGCTGAGTAGTATTCCGTTGTTGGGTAGAGCACAGATGATTTATCCCTTCACCTGCTGAAGGACACCTTGGTTTCTTCCAAGTTTTGGAAGTTATGAATGAAGCTGCTATAGGGCTGAGGATGTGGCTCAAGCGGTAGCACACTCACCTGGCATGTGCGGGGCGCTGGGTTCGATCCTCAGCACCACATAAAAATAAAATACCAATGTTGTGTCCACTGGAAACTAAAAAATAAATATTAAAAAATTCTCTCTCTCTCTTAAAAAAAAAAAAAGCTGCTATAAACACTGTGTGTGTGTTGTGCGTGTTTCGGTCCAGTGTTTTAATATCAAGGAGTGTAGTCGTTGGATCCAATAGTAAAAGATGCTTAGTTTTGTAAGAAGTTGCCAAACTGTTTTCCAGTGTGGGTGGCCCGTTTTGCATCCCCAGGGCAGTGCGCGGGAGTTCCTGGTGCTCCGCGTCCTCCCCAGTTCTTGGTGTTGTCTGCGTTCTGGCTTTTCTGCTGGCATTCTGTAGTTTGATGTCATTAGGTAGTTTCTGAGTCGTGTTGAGATCTTGTGAACATGGCGTTCTCCCTGTCTGTGCTGTGAGTTGCTAGAAAGGTGTCCTGATGGCCCCTTTACTGTGGGTGGGCCTCTGTCCCCTTCACTGTGTCAATCCTCCTTAGGTGTGCCCTCACCACTGTTATCAGGAGCAGTCCAACTTAAAATCATTGGGTCTTTCTGGTAAGTCATTTCCTAGTGGCTATCTTAAAAAAATTTTCAATAATTCTTTTTGTGTTAAGGTTTATTATTACTATTATTTTTTGCTTTGGTGTTGAGGAATTGAACCCAGGCCTTGGACTTGCTGGGCAAGTGTGTTCTAATTTTAAGTGGTCTGTGGCTTCTTTTTGATTGGTATTCACCTGGTATATCTTTTTGCTAGTCTTTAACTTGTAGTATTTCCCTACCTTTCATTTTCCAAAAATCTCTTTTAAACAGTGTGGAGTTAGAGTTCTAGAAATCCAGCCTACTTACAGCCCTCTTTTAATTGAAGCATGTATTCCAGTGATATTTGTGTTACAGTTATAGTCTTGTTAAGAAGTAAATTTTGTGTAAAGTGTATTGTTTGATGAGGCGTATTAATGTCATACCCAAAGTGTCATTGTGGAGGGAGGACTTTATACTTAAAAGAAACCAGCAGAACTTCATTGAGTAGCATGGGGACCATTTCTTATTAGACTGTCTGTCCACTGAGTTTAATCGGATGTCTGTCTTTGTTTTTCTCTCTTCCTCATGCCCCTCAGCCTTTCGCTGTGGCCTGCAATTTTTAGGCAACGTCGCCTCACGGAACGAAGACTCCCAGGCCATTGTGTGGGTGCACGCCTTTCCTGAGCTCTTCATGTGAGTGCAGAGGAGTCTCCTGACTCCTCAAAAAGACAGCTACACCAGCCCCTGTGCATGGAGGTGGGGACGTGAGGAACCAGCCTGTGGCAACAGAGTCTAGGCCATAGTGGCTCCTGGGGTGGTGGGGGAACGGTCTGGGGAAGAGCGCCTGAGAGGACACTAGGCCCTGGTGGGGTTCCGTGATCCCACACATCTACCCTCGACTATAAGTTCGTTTGCTGTTAAGAAAATACAAATCATGGGCCAAGTATAACATTGCTAAAGAACCTGAAATTTGTTAAGACCAAAAAAAAAAAAAAACCCAACAATTGAACCTGAAGCCTCAGTGCGTGGGCAGTGAGTTAGCCTTTCCTTGCTTTCCTGCACAGCACAGTGCTGTGTGCTTTGGTAGGTAGGGGAAGTGCACGGTATAGTGGCCAGTCTGTGATCAGTGTGAGAGGCAGTCACCAGCCTGTTTTTAGTGTAAGAAATGGCAGTCAGTCTGTCTGTGAGTTCAGTCTGTCTGTATGAGAAGGGGATAAGCAGCCCATGTGCTAACCTAGATGTGGCTGACCAGTCTGATTATCCCTGTAAGAAGTGGCTAATTAGTCTTTTTACTTAGAATGGTTCCTGAGTCTTTTCTTGTAGATAGACTGTTTTTTTTTTTAGATAGACTGTTTTTTAAAACCAGCTCTTCTAGTTCACAGAAGGTCGAGCACTGGGAGCACTGGACTGCAGTTTGTGGGGGTGGCGGGGCAGACTAGGCTGTCCAAAGGGCAACAGTGCCACATGGGGTGACTCATGGCTGCCCCAGGGTAAAGAGCAGAGGGGCAGCTGTCATTTATATGTCCTGAGCTGAGCGTTTCCTGTGTATTGTTCCTGTTCTTGAAGCACCTGCCCTGGGGGTAGGTGGTCCTGGCCCTGTATGGATAGATGAGAAGGTAAATGGCTGGCTGGGTCTGAAGCCTGCACTCTGTAAATGGCTTGTTGCCCTAGTTCTGTGCTGCTTCCCTGCTGGTGTAGGTCTGGGGCTTGCTGTAAAGTGTGATATCAGGATGGATGAACTCCAACTCATTTGAGCTCACTGAGTCTGTCTCTCAAGTTCTTGCAGACATTGGGGTTGAAAAAGTGTGTGTATTATGATTAGTAATAATTGAGCTTAGGTGAAAGAACACTCTAAGCTACAGAAATAGACATTATTTATATTTGAGAATTTTTCCCTGTAAGACATTTGGGCACCTAATATATACCAGCTTTTGAGCTAAATGACTGTGATAACTTATTTCCATTTTTTTATTTGTGCATTATAATTGTACATAAATGGTGGGCTTCATTGTTACACGTTTGCACATGCATACAGTATGACAGTGTAATGACTGGCAACTTAAATATATCTATTGCCTTCAGATTACATGCTTTGGTGGGGGAAATAAAGGAACAGACAAGTACATAACAATGCAACTAAAATAATCAGGATAAATCCAGAGTATGATAGAGAAATAGGAGGAGGGCCTATCAATAGTTTTCATGGTCCTTTTGTATGAGTTCATTTGATCCTCACAAAAGCCCTGGAGGTAGTTGGAGGAGGCCTTATATTCTATTTCATTTTTAAAATAGCTTTATTTTATTCATTTTATTTTTATGTGGTACTGAGGATTGAACCCAGGATTGAATTCGCATGTGCTAGGCAAGCGCTCTACTTCTGAGCCCCAGCCCTAGCCCTCTATTTTGTTTTTTATATCAGAAGACATACTGACAGAGGGATGTGACTTCACTCTGTGCTTATGAGGCAGATAGAACCAAATTTGAGTTCTAGTTTTGGCAGACACTGGCATTGTACTGTTGGGCAAGTGGAATCAACAAATTGTTTCTCTGTAATCCTCCAGGAGGCTATTGTGAAGTTTAAATGGAAAAATAACAACAAAATCAGACAACCCCCTAGTGCTTGAGCCCAGGTAGTTGAGAGTCTGAGGGAGCTGGGTTGATGAGCGGGCAGTTGGCTGGGGCTCCTGACTCCAGGCTCCGTTTCTTGCTACTGCCTTCTGTTCTTCAGATGTGCTGTCCCTCATGACTGGTCAGGCAGTGCCTGTGGTCATTGTGGTAACTCTTTTTGCCTGTTGGGTGTTCTTTCTAACAAGAATGTGTGTCCTAATGCTTTATAAATGTGATCATTTTTATCTTTTTTTTTTTTTAAGAGAGAGAATTTTAATATTTATTTTATAGTTTTCGGCAGACACAACATCTTTGTATGTGGTGCTGAGGATCGAACCAGGGCCACAGGCATGTCAGGCGAGCACGCTACCGCTTGAGCCACATCCCCAGCCCATTTTTATCTTTTCTAATCAGGTGTGAAGTTGCTTTTTGCTCCAGAGTGCTGAGTTAACTGCAACTTTTTATTGTGATTTGACTTTGTATTTGCTATTTTTATATTATTACTATTTTAATGTTTAAAATCCAAAGTATTATAAGTCTTCTTCAACTGCTAAAAATATCAGTATGTACTGAATTTACTAGAGGGTTTACTGTTACTTGTAAATAATTTAAAATAATTTCTTGTTGCTAAATTGAACAAAAAATCTCATTTCTTTGTTTGAAAGGTCTTGTTTAAATCATCCAGACAAAAAAATTGTTGCCTACTGTTCAATGATTTTGTTCACATCTCTTAATCCTGAGAGGATGAAAGAACTGGAAGAAAACCTCAATATTGCAATTAATGTCATTGAAGCTCACCAGAAGCAGCCTGAGTCAGAGTGGCCGTAAGTATCTTGTTAGAAATAAGATATTTATTTGCATGAGGACATCCTGACAGATCACTTTCCTCACAGAGATTTTAAGTAAACATTTGAACTATGATAATTAAACCATAAGTTCAGACTTACCATATGGTCAGTTAAATTACCAAAGTTTTTGGGCAGAGTCTGGAAACTTGGGAAACAGGTGACGCTCAGTGTGAGCTGGGCTGGAAGCATGGGGGGGGTGGGTCTTCTAGGTGGTGGTGGGGCATTCTTGCGGTGTGGAGGAGGCAGTGCCTGGGCACTGGGAGTACCCAGATCAGGCCCCAGCATGGATCGGGGCAGCCAGAGGTTGTCCTGTGTAAGTGACTCAGCTGTGGCTCACCTTGTCCCCTACAGAATGCAGGCCTTGTCTCTGTTGCTTTTAAAGTTTTTCTTAGTCTTTAGAAGTTAATAATGATTTCTTAGCATAAATTTCTCTGGGTTTGTTCTTTTGGGGGTTAACTCAGCCTCTTTCATCTGTAGGTTTATGTCTTTCATGAAGTTTGTGACGTTTCCAGCCATTATCTGAATATTTTTCAACCCTACATTCATTCTTGCCTCTCTTCCTTTGGGACTCCACGCCAGTTACACACACAGGCCATTGTGGTGACCAGTGAAGAGACATGAAGAGACAACAGCCATGTGTAGGTTTAGACAGTTTGTTCCTGAATGGACAGAGGCAAGCAGCCAGAGGGGTGGGTGACAGGCATGTGACTGTGAGATGGCCCATGGCAGGGGAGCCACTGGACAGGGTCCTGCTGTGGCACAGCTTGATGAGGCTAGGGCAGAAAGCGTCAACCCTGTTTAGAGTGACACCTCTGCGGGACTGTCTCATGAGAGTCACAGCCTACCTGAGGATGTGGCAGGGCCCTAGGTGGTGGCCTCAGGCCTTGCATATTCTCCTGGTCCAGAACCAGCACAGGGCATTCAGCTAAGGCTCAGGTGAGCTGCTGTTGAAGCTCTGGTGTCTGGGCACATTAGGGGTCCCCATGTGCTTTGGGGGAATAGCTTTCCTGTACAGTGGTGGTCCTCTGGTTTTGTTCTGTAGGTCCCTGAGGCTCCACCCAGGCTTTTTTTCTTTTTGGTTTCCCGTTTATTTTCTCTCTTAGCCAGGACTTAGCCAGATTTTGTAACTTAATAGTAAGTTTTGAAATTGGCAAGTATGAGTCTTCCAACTACGATGTTCTTTTTCAAGATTTTTTTTTTCCTATTTTGGGTCCTTTGCATTTCAATGTTTTTTTAGGATCATCTTTTCAGTTAAAAAAAATAGCTAGAATTTTGCATGAATATGTAGATCAGTTTTGAAAATATTGCAATCTTAACTAGATTAAGTTTTCCAAACCATGAGTAGGGGATGTTTTCCATGTATTTAAGCCTTCTTTAAGTTCAGTGATGTTTTGTAGTTTTTATTGTATGAGTTTTGCATGACTTTAATTTATTCTAAATATTTTATTCGATTGCTAATGGATTGTTTTCTTGATTTCATCAATGGTATTTAGTGATGCATAAGAAAACACTGCTGTGTAGAGAAAGAAATAGAGTTGATTTTGTGCATTGATCTTGTGTCCTGAAGCCTTGCCGAGCTTGTTTGTTGTCATGACAGGATTTTGGTGGTGTTTGGGGGTTTCTTGCGTCTAGGAACCTATCCTCACGCATCTTGGAGTTTTGCCCTTTCCTTACCTGAGTGCCCCCACTGGAGATTCTGTGCAGTGTTGAGTCTGAGTGGACAGAGTGGTTCATGTCAGTCCTGGCTTTGGGTTTTACCACAGAGTCGTGGCAGCGTGGGGGCTTCTGGCTGCCTTTCGTCAGAGTGGGAGCAGGCATCCTGGGTGCTCTCGTCTTGTCGAATGTTCTCAGTGGTTAAAGGGTGGTGCGTTTTATCAAATTCTTTGGTGTCTGTTGACATGATGGTTTCGTCTTTTTCTATGGCTTTGTCTTTTAGTTTATGAATGTTTTATACACGTGATTGATTTTTGTATTTTAATCCAACTTTGCATTCCTAGAACAAACTCCGCTTGTTGATGGTGTATAGTCCTTTTTACATGGACTTAGTTTGTGTTTCGCTGAGGATTTTTAGATCTATATAAAGTGGCATATTGGTCTGTAGTTGTCTTTTTTTGTGTGTGATTTTTCCCTTTTTCCTGGTTTGGCATCAGATTAATGTTGGCTTTACAGAATGTATTGGTTTTATTTTTATTTATTTTCTGGTGAAGTTTGTGGAGGATTGGTGTTAATCTTTAATTATTTGGTAGAATACACCAGTGAGCGTCCTGTCTTGGGGAGGTCTTGGTTGCTTATTCATTCTGTATTTGTCATAGGTCTGTTTAGATTATCTGCCCCTCCTTGGGTCAGCTTTAGTACTTAGCGCCTTTCTAGAACTCGGTCTGTTGGACTTTCTAATTTGTTGGCACATGATTAGTCACAGTATTTCCTTAGGATCTGTTTATGTAAGGTTGGTAGGAGCCCCCTCTTTGGTCCTGATTTTAGTAATTCAAGCCTTCTATTTCTTTCTTAGTCACTGTAGCTAAAGGGTTTTTGTTTGTTTGCTTTTGTCTTTCCAGACAATAAATTTCAGGTTTTGTTGATTGTTCTCTATTTTTCTGTTTCCTCTCTTTTGCTGTATATCTTTATTTGTTTTGCTCTTCCTTTGTTAGTTTCTTAGGGTGGAAGTTAGGTTGCTGCTCTGCCGTCTCCCTCTCTTTGAGGATCTGTCACCGTCCTCATAGGAACCACTTTCATTCCCGTCCTTCAGTACCATTAGTTTTGCAATGTGGTGCTTTTTGTGGCCTCAATCTCAAGTTATATTCTTATTTCCCCTGCGATTTCTCCTTGAACCCACTGCTTATTCTAGGAGTTTGATGTTTAATTTTTACTTGTTTGTGTATTTCCTAAATCTCCTTTTTAAAATTGACTTATAATTTCACTCCATTGTGGTTGGAACACATGCTTTATATGGTCTACTTCTTTCTGAAGACATTGAGGCTGTTCCATGGCCCATGGCATGGCCTGCCATGGAGTGTATTCCCAGTGCACTTGGGACGAGGGGTGTGCTGTAGGTAGGTACCTCTGGGTTTGGTTAGTGTGTGGTGCCGTTCATGTCCCCTGTTTCCTTGTTGATCTTGTGCCTGGTCCTGTTCATCATTAGAAGTAAATTTTTGTCCTTACACTTCAGTTCTTTCAGGTTTCGCTTCAGTTATTTTCAGGCGTCTTTGTTGTGTGTGCTTGTGTGTGTGTGTAATTGTTACATCGTCTTGAGGAGTTGACCCTTTTTTCCAGTACAAAACTTATCAGTGCTTCTGTCATTTACATTTAATGATCTTCTCCTGTTCACTTCAGATCTGATTTTCAGGTTGTGTTCCTCACATTGGTCAGTTCTTCAGGGCCTAGACTGCTTCCAGGTGGCCCCTGTTAATCCCACTTTCCTTCTTATGTGAGGCTTCAGTCTTTTCAGTTTTAGCCTCTTTTTGTGTAAACTATTATCCTTCTGTTGAAATTTTTACCTTCATTTAAAATTACTTATGTTCTGAACATTGATTTGTATTTGAATTGCAATGTGCAAACAGACGGAAGATAGTACATGAAAATATTTTGGTGTATTTGAATTGGAAAATGTCCCTCAGCATGCAAATGTAACATGACAGGATGAGTCTTGAGTCAGCTCACTTAGGGAAATTTCCTGTAGCTGAATTTCATTTTATTTGATAAGTATCTTGGATGTGTATTTTAACAGCATGGAATAAAGGGCCAGGGTCATAATGGCCAAATATAAAGTCCCCTTCAGAACAGCCCAAGGTAAACGGTATCAGAGGTCACTGCATAAGATGGAAGACAGGATGGCAGCATGGTAGTCAGCAAGCCTTTGTCATCCTGCGCTGGGTGCTTGCCATGTGACGGGAGAGAAGCTCTGCGTTTGGCAAACGATGAGATTGCAGACTACGCAGAGGCTCCAGAAGCTGTCTTTTATTTTTTATTTTATTTTATTTTTTAACTCCCTGAAAATTGGAGAAAACCCATCTTCTGCTCCTCTTACCCTTGCCTTGTGAGATGACTGGCAAAGAGCATCACACCACATGATCTTAGAACTCAGGGGCTCATTATCTCTTCATTTCTTCTTTTTTCTTAGAAAGGGACAATGAAAGTTTTCAGTGACTCTGGGTCTTTTTGTTTGGGTGTACTGGAGTCACAGGAAAGTGTAGGCAACGAAGTCTTTGGGTCTGTTTGGTTTGAGTTAATGGGATAATGTCTTTCTAAAAATGTTTGTTTCTTTTGTTGGTAGGTGTGACAGATGTTTTCATACTCTTAGATAGCCCTAGATGAGTCCAAGCCTTCTATTTTGAGTTCATCTGATGGTGAGTTTGTGTTGGCACATTAGAAAAGACTCCCTGTGAATCTGTGGGACTGGGACGCAGAGAAGGGGACGTGCCTGCTGACCTGGGCTGCTCTGGCTGCTTCACTTTGTCCATGCAGCTGCCATGTGCAAGAGAGCCCTGAGACCCAACATCAAAGTTGCACAACTAACACCCAGCAGAGAAAGATCGAAGGCGTGCCAGGCTTGAACGCTTGCCCTTTATACCGCGTCAGGAATTACTGATCTTCAGGAAGAGGTCTGCATCTCAAGGGCAGGTCTGAGCACCGAGCTTGACCTTTTGGGATAAGCTTTGGTCATTGTTTTGAGCTTGTATCCAATTTCTTACAGAGGTGACGTGGCTGTGAGTAGAGCGTTCTTTTTTGTCCGTGTTGGGTTATGTAGTCGACTTCTTTTGTGTGAGAAAGGTTCATTTCCAGACTGATGCTCCCTTTGCTCCCGGGTATGCCTCAGGTACCTGTGTTTTTGTCCACTTCAGCTTAGGTTCAGCTGTCCTTCCTTCTGCACTGGGGACCTCTTGCCCTTTTGCTCTCTGCTGTCTGTGTGTTCCCACTTGCAAGGCTCTTGAGGCATTCACTTGTCCATTAGACTGGCAAGTCCCTGAGGCAATGTCAGT